AATTCAAATAGAGTCATCTTCTTCGGGTTTGATGACAAATAATTGCATAGTGAACGGAGAAAGCGGAGCATGTTTTGCTACTTTGCGCATTTTCTTGTCGCGTTTGAATTGACTATTCCTCCACGTTGGAGTAATTGGTTCCTAATAGGAACTGAGTATGATGATAGAAACTTCCTATCATCATACTCAGTCAGCTCTTGAGAGTTCTGATTCTTTTCTCTTTTCTCAGGCCATCCGATAGTGAAGGAATATAAAAGAGCTGTGGAGCTCGGTCAATTCCGCCGCTTGCCGGGTTTGCGGGCACAGATGGACAAGATTGCCGTGAACAGGTTAGGAAAATTTCTACTGATGTCGCTCGGAAATGTTCGGCTCCACTCTGTATCATCACACTTGCTATGTGCTCTCGATTGTATATACTAGGTTTCCAGTGCTGGTGGCGACATGCATCGGGAGCGGTCATCAAATGCTCGACGGTCTTACTTTCGACTCAGTCGTCATTGACGAGTGCACTCAAGCGACTGAACCAGCGACGTTGGTGCCTCTGACACGGGGTGCCAAACGCTGTGTTCTATTAGGTGAGTTTTGCCCTTGCTAGCGAGTTCAACAGCGATCTCTTTGCACGTGATGAGGTCCCAGAACATCTCATCTGCTGAATGAGCTGATTGGCGGTAGAATTGCTTCCCTATCAGGTGACCACAAGCAACTGTCGGCAACTATATGTTCGACAGCTGCATCGGAGCGAGGCTTGGGAAAGAGTCTGTTCGAGCGTGTTTTGGAGTCTGGTGGCAGACTTCATTTGCTTGACGTACAACGGAGAATGCACCCCAGCATCGCTGAGTTTTCTAATATCAATTTTTACGAAGGCCGACTTCACAGTGAAGTCGGAGAGCGGGCGAAAATCCCAGGATTATACTGGCCTGCGTCCGGCGTCCAGGTGTGTCTGGTGAATATTGACGCATTGAGTGGTGGAGAGACGAGAGTGGGGACGAGCTTCTCCAACCGAGCCGAGGCCAAGGCGGTGATCGATGCGATGGTGGTGGCCGTCAAGGCAGGGGTGGAGCCGGGCGACATTGGTATAGTTGTGCCGTACAGCGGACAAAAGACGCAGAAAGAGAGAATGTTAGAGTCTGATTATCGCCTGCCTCGTGAGAGCGTCGAGCGAATCAGTATCAATACGGTGGATGCTTGCCAGGGAAGCGAGAGAGAGCTTATTCTCTTCAGCGCAGTCCGATCCAATCGGGACGGCGATATTGGTTTTACTGGAGATCCCAGGAGAATGAACGTGGTGCTCACTAGAGCTAAGCGGAGCTTGGTTGTTTTCGGAGATGTGAAGACCCTGTCTGCTGATACCGAAGGGGACTGGGCTCGTTGGGTTCATTGGGCGAAGAGCACAGGCTGCATGGTTGAAATGGCGGAATACTTGAGGAATTCAGCTGTAAACGGAGCTAGCGGATCTGCCGGACCGTGGAGGCGTGGCGCGGTGGAAGCTCGAGGAAGTGGTAGGCAACCGGCCTTTAGGATATTTCCCAGCGACATGTGGACTCGGGACATCGTTCGGAGTCGTGAGAGTGGCTCGAAACAGAGCAATGTTTTCAAACGAACCAGTGCACGATTATATGTTTCTGTGAAAGAGTTTCGAAGTGGTGGAGAGGTTGAGTTATATCACGAGTCGTTATTCGCGGCAGTTCATTATCAGATGTAATTGAAGGCTCGATCAGGCCGGGTGCGATTGATCTTGTTAGGATTAGATAACTCAACAAGAGTTATAAACAAGTGGTTCTTAACTAATGATCAATACAGTAGTCATGAAGTATACGCTGGGCTAGCAAGGGAGACAAGTATCACAAGAATCTAAGATTACAGGAGACACTTGTGTACAATATTTCCTCACAGATCTTTACAGTCACAGTTAGAACCGATCGAAAATTAACAACAGTATGAGATATGATCCAGATCCAGAACGCAGCTAAGGGTAACTAGTGCCATAGGCGAGCGCGCTCTAGACCACTACTTGCACCACTCTATCCTACACAAGCTACGGGACATAGCATTTCTTATTATAACAGCTCGGCGAGATTGTTCGCCAGTTTGAGCTGACATGCGTGCTGTATCTAAGATTTGTTCTACGCATTGAGTAGTGTCATAGAACTGATCACTCTATGATGTTGATCATGGCGCACGCCATGTCTAGCGGTTGTGTTGTACGATGATATGTTCAGCGTGTTCTAGACTAGGGTCACTTGTAGCAGTGATTATTTATGAGCAATTCTGAAGGAAATTATTTTGGTTGTTCTTGTTGGCTTAGCCTACGGTAACAATTCTCCACCCAAACCTTCCTCATCTAAGATGAGTCATCTCATTGAACAACCCGACTTCGTCGTCTAACTGGTATGGCATAGATTGATGGACTATGAGTGCTCAACTTGGCACTGCTTACGCTAAGCATAGAACAATGTGGCTGAGCAGAGCTGTGATATCTTAGTCGAGGCTCAGCGATGTCCATACTAGCAATAGACCGAGACAGCTTGACCATCAGATGTCGTTGTCGAAGGCCACAAAATTGAGGCTCACTTATTGAGTTACTCAGCGTCCAACTTCGCCTAGGGTGGCTGTGGGTTGGGTTGAAAGAAGAGACGCACTACTCCACGGATAAACTCCATCTGGTTCAGACACGTTCACATATCAAGTACATCAAACAGTTTAATTCAAACTCCTTTGGACCACTAGCTCAGCTAGCTAGCTTGTGTCCACGGCATAAACACGCACGAGATAGACATCATCGGTGATAGATCGACCGAGAGAGATGAGAATTACCACCATGTATAAAGGATAGGAAAATGCAATGCAGACAGTCAGATTGGAGTAGGAGCATTGTTCCTCCCAGCACGTCGCGCTATCCAATTCGGTTTCCTCTAACTGACCATTGACTGAAAGACGTCTCAAATTCGGGAAAGTAGTGTTTACGTCTGCTCGTGAATCAAATTTCACTTGTCATCATCATTTGCTTACCCCAATTGTTTCCGACCGCGATCATTGTATCGCGACTGCCTCTCGGTGGGCTCGACTATTGGCTAATAGGTGGCGAGTCTACCAAGTTGGGTATTTGCTACAGTTGAAAGCACTGGCAAGCAACTTTTGTCCGGACTATCCTATAGCGACGTGTTTCCTTGTAATACTGAGGGTGAACCAACGAAGATTAAAGTCTTCAGAGAGGATCCCTCTGAGAGGTTCATGAGGAGATGTTTCGAACGACCGGGTCTAAGCGTTGGTAAAGAGTGCGACTCACTCAGCGACACTCAGCATTACTGGGTTAGTAAGTTCTCTTTTCATGAGACGCAACAGCATCCATAGTATTCAAGGATATGAAAGCATAGCGTTTGCCTTGTTCAATCCCATAAGAAGCCATCCAAAAATCATTGAAAGGCGATGAGAGCCCAACAATAGCTTCACTTATCAGTGCTATTTCGAACTACAAAAGAGGGCGTACGAGTGTGCTTGTGAAAAATTTGGATACTGGGCACAGGCTGTGCGGCACAGCAACGCGCAGGCCTGCATACCGATGAGTAGTAGAAAAGCGAGCACATGTGTACGGTACACAGTGTACTGCATAAACGTAATATTTGAGAAGATGAGAAAAGGCGAAAAATTGATGAGCATATTGATCCTATAGTGAGAATCCTTCTCGTAGTACAGACGCACCGCTTTTAAGGCACCAGCACTGGAGCGGGAAGACGATATTCATCGACCTCACCGCATCGGCAAGACAAGGTGTCTTGGAGATACAGATTCATGATGCTAAGTGACTAGAAACCTTGTCAAACAGTTCGGCGTAGATGAGGGAGTTGCTGTAATCTCTGTATTTACGAGAAGCATCATAAAGAAAGTATGCGACCTCGAATCTCCAGTGATTATTTTCCTTCAAAATTCTTATCAGTTGCCGGCTGGAGAACTTAGAGGAATCAGTGGGTACATTGGAGGAGGCTTCTTCAAGTGATATTAGTGTCAACCCGTGGTAACTACCCAAACCTGTTAGATTATGCCACGAGCTCCAAATGTTGACTTTGTCATCAGGGAAAGAGGCAAAGTCGACAGCCTCTATATGGAAAGAAGCTTTTTTGCCGGAGAATCGTCCTTGGGAAGCGGAAGCCGCTGGGTTCCACCAAAAGTATCTGCTTTCATCACCGAAACCCATGTTGACCCGACCATGCGTCTCCACTAGAATATCACTCAGCTCGCCAGGCGGGGAGGTAATGGTGATGTTTATATACATAGTGCCATAACTTCCAGGCATGTTCGAGTTGAGAATGATCCCGGCAGCCTTTTTCTGAACTCCATCGGCTGTGACACCCCTCATGTTGTAGATGCAGGACGATTCCACAAGATTGATAATGGAACTCTCCTCTCCTGGACCAGGTCCGCCACGACAACCTGCTGGATAGTCTGCACTAACGTGGAAAGGTTCCGGGTGCCCCAGGGCCGTCTGAACCACAATAACAAACAACAGAAGGCTCATGTGGCACCACTTGGAGTGCATAGTATAAGAAAGAGGTCCGATACTAGCCTCCTGGTAGTTTCTAGGCCCCAGGTTATCCTGGGTGCCCAACGATAAACAGCGGTGGGTAGATGGCATATCGAATGAGGATTAATCTGAACAGTTAGTTGAAGAGAAATCGAAGACTGTAATGCACTGAACGCTAAGATTGTAACACTAAGATCGAAGGAAACCCGAATGAGCACTGTTTTCTCCTCGCTCTAGCCGCTAGAGTCTAGCGGTACTACCGCGTCAACATAATCACTGCCTAAGATTTGGCATAGCTAAGCGAAGGTTAGACCATATTACATGGCAAAGCGGAGCTTCTTGACGGCGCTGCTCAAGGATGGAGACATTCTGCGCTCAGTGACGAGGAATATGAACTGGCTCCATGGACTCCATGGCTTGGAGCGGATGACACTGTCTTCACACTGCCGCCGCGGTGCGTTTTCGTTCCTGGTATGTTACAATTGAAGATTTGAGTATAAACCTCCCTGTATCTGGGCGGACTGCATGAATGCACTCAGTGGCGCGCAGGAACAAGCTAATGCTTATTGGTGCAGGTTAATACAGTGAACAGTTCACTGTGAACTCCACTTCGACTTGAGTGAGACTAGGAATCACTATTGCACGCTCTACGGAGACGACACGCTCGCACTCGCGAGCGACTGTGGATCTCGATTGTGTAACTTACCGACTTGGTAATGCTGAGATAACCACGTATATTCAGAATACTACTCTGTGATTTGTTAGGTCTGAGAGCATAACATCCAACACCGATCCATCTTATCAGCATCCAACTTTCCTAGTCCAAATTTTTCCCTGCGTAAGTTTCGTGGCGCTGCGACACGCGCGCACAGACCGAAATACACTATACTGTCTATTCTCTGCTACACGCGGAGTGGAAGACTGAGCATCTAAGTGTCGCTACACGTGTACTTCTAATACGACTTTGTCGACGACAGAGTGTTGTGGCTGATAGAAACTCAATTTTACACGATACGCAGAATCGGGATTTTTCGACCTGGTTCGAACTCACATTCGCTGTACATCAAGCAAATGAAGTCTGACTTCATTTGCTTGGTGCAGAGCGAAGAATCCAGCCAGCATCGCCAAATTTTTCAACATCTAGTTTTACGGAGCAACCACCAGTTCAGAGTGACGCTGGAGAGCGGGCGAAAATCCCAGGATTATACTTGCTGCGTCCGGCATCCAGACGTGTCTGGTGAATACTGACGCATTGAGTGGTGGGGAGACGAGAATAGGGACGAGCGTCCCCAACCGAGCCAAGGCCAAGGCGGTGATCGATGCGATGGTGGTGGCCGTCGAGGCAGGGGTGGAGCCGGGCGACATTGGAATAGTTGTGCCGTACAGCGGACATAAGGCGCAGAAAGAGGAGAGTCAGTATAATGAGTTGAGGAAATGTTATAGTCTGATTATCGTCTGCCTCATGAAAACGTCGGGCGAGTCAGTATCAATACAGTGGATGCTTTCCAGGGAAACGAGAGAGAGCTTATTCTCTTCAGCGCAGTCCAATCCAATTGGGACGGCGATATTGGATTCACTAGAGATTCCAGGTCTGTGAACGAGTTTCGGAGTGTTCGAGAGGTTGAGTTATATCACGACAGTTCATCATCAGGTGTAATTAAAGGCTTGATCAGGCCGGGTGCGATTGATCTTTACAACTACAGTCAGAACCGATCGAAAATTAACAACAGTATGAGGTATATCCAGATCCAGAACACAGCTAAGGGTAACTAGTGCCATAGTCGAGCGCGCTCTAGACCATTATTTGCACCACTCTATCCTACACAAGCTACGGGACATAGCATCTCTTATTATCACAACTAGGCGACACTGATCGCCAGTATGAGTTGACATGCGCGCTGTATCTAAGATGGGTCCTACCCATTGAGTACTGTCATAGAACTCGTGATTCTTCTATGTTGGTCATGGCACATTCCCTGGCACTCCCATGTTAAACATGGCATGTTTAGTGTTTAAGTCTGCTCGTGAATCAAATTTCATATGTCATGACCATTTGCTTACCCTAATTGTTTCCGACCGCGATGATTGTATCGCGGCTGCCTCTCGGTGGGCTCAACTACTGGCTAATAGGTAGCGAATCTAACAAGTTGGGTAGTTGCTACAGCTGAAAGCACTGACAATCAACTTTTGTCTTGAAGATCCTATAGCGACGTGTAAACCTGTAACTTACAGGCTGTAAGTTTCCAGAGAGGATCCCTCTCAAAAGTGCACGATGAGATGTTTCGAACTACCGGTTAAGCGTTGGTAAAGAGTGGCACTCACTTAGCGGCACTCAGCATTACTGGGTTACTAAGTTCTCTCCACATGAGACGCAACAACATTCACAGTATATGAAAGCATAGAGTTTTGCCCTTGTTGAATGCCATAAGAAGCCCCCCAAAATGGTTGAAAGGCGGTGAGAGCCCAGCAATCGCTTCACTTCTCAGTGCTTCTTCGAACTGTAGAAGCGGGCGTACGAGTGTGCTTGTGAAAAAATTTGAAAATCGCGAAGAGCAACGCGCAGGCCTGCGTACCGATGACTCATCAGCGATGAGTAGTAGAAAAGCGAGCACCTGTGTACTGCATAAACGTGATATTTGAGAATGATGAGAAGAGGTGAGAAAATATATGAATGTTGTAGTGGACGCAGAGTGGGTACTGCACCAGCATCGAGTCAGGGAGACGATATGCACCAACTCCACCACGTCGGCAAGACACATATTCATAATGCTGAGTAGCTCTACAGCCTGGGTATGTCCTTGAGATTGCCCTGGATGACATACTTGGTGTAATCGTCAAGCTGTGGAGAAGTATCACGGAATTGGTACACAACCAGGAAGTCCCAACCACCATCTTTCTTGCTTATCCGGATCTGCTGTCCGGTGGAGAATGAAGGATTATGTACATTAGAGGAGGCTCTCTGATTTGAGATCAAGTGTAACATTTGGCAATCCGGTGAACCTTCTAGAGCATGCCACGAGTTCCAAATGTTCACCTTATACTTAGGGAAATAACCATAGTCGATGGTCGCGATATGGATACGCGACCCAGGGCCGTAGGCATCCTCACCCGGAGCAGGGTTCCACCAGAAGTCCCTGGTTTCATCACCGACGCTCAAGTGTGCCCACCCATATGTTTCCACCAGGGTACCACTCTTGTTGTCAGGCGTTGTGAACACGGTGAAATTCAAATGCATACTGCCAAAATACCCAGGTCTGTTGGTCTTAAGGATGATCCCGGCAGCCCTCTTATACACACCTTCGGATGTAACGCCCTTCTTGCTGTAAATGCAGGATGGCTCCATAAGAGTGGTTATAACACTTCCCCTCCCTGGACCAGGCCCGCCATGACACCCCGCAGGGTAGTCCGCAGTAACCTGGAAAGATCCCTCAGATTGTCCCAGGGTCGCTTGGGTCATAATGGCAAGTACAAGGAGGCCGTAGGTGTAAGGCATCACTAATAAGACTCAATCTGAAAGTTTGTCGATGAGAATACAACGATTGTGACACTCTAACCAAAACGTGTTCCGCTCCATTCTAGCGGTACGGTCGCTTCATCATTGCTACTACAGCGATTGGGCCTATGACGGGTATAGCGTAGATATGACACAGCAGATCCTTTTGAAGGCACTGGTGGAGAAAGCAGACAATTCACGAGCAGTGACGAGGAATATGATCTGGCTCCATGGACTCCATGGCTTGGAGCGGATGACACTGTCTTCACACTGCCGCCGCGGTGCGTTTTCGTTCCTGGTATGTTACAATTGAGGATTCGAGTATAAACCTCCCTGTATCTGGGCGGACTGCATGAATGCCCTCAGTGGCGCGCAGGAACAAGCTAATGCTCATTGGTACAGGTTAATACACTGAACAGTTCACTGTGAACTCCACTTCGACTTGAGTGAGACTAGGAAGCGCTATTGCACGCCCTACCGAGACAGCACGTTCGCACTCGCGAGCGACCGTGGATCTCGATTGTGTACCTTACCGACTTGGTATTACCAAGTTGGTAATGCTGACATAACCTCGTATATTCAGAATACCATTTCGTGACGTGTTGGATCTGAGAGCATGAAGTCCAGCATCGATCCCGTTCACTGCGTAAGGTCTCGTGGTGCTGCGCCACGCGCGCAAGACCGAAATGCACTATCCAGTGTCTACTCTCCGCTACATGCGGAGTGGGAGACCGAGCATTTAAGCGTTGTTACACGTGTACACGTGCACATATAATACGACCTCGTCGACGACAAATTGTTGTCGCCGACAAAAAACCCAATCTTACACAATACTCAGAATCGGGATTTTTCGACCAGGTTCGACCTCACATTCGACTCAGTCAGACTGGGTCAGTCGTCATTGACGAGTGCACTCGGGCAACCCAACCAGCGACGTTGGTGCTCTGGCATGGAGTGATGTGTCCTGTAGGTGAGTTTTGCTCTCCGAGAGCACTATAGCGAGTCGCTAGCGAGTTCAGCAGCGATCTCTTCTTGTGTGGTGAAGTCCCAGCAAATCTCGTCTGTTGAACGAGCTGATTGACGATGTAGTGAGCTCCCTCTCTCAGGCGACCACAAGGAACTGTAAACAACTGTACGTTCGACGGCTGTATCGGAGCGAAGCTCCGGAAAGAGTCTGTTCGATCGCGTTTTGGAGTTTCAAACTCCAAACTCCGAGTCTGGAGGTTGACTTTTCTCTCCAACAGTGCTTCGTATACTTGTTAAACTTTCGCTTGGATTGAAATTCAATCTTATCTTAATGGTATTTCCAGGATTGAATCGGTCTATAGCATTTATTCTTCTCATTATATTGTACAGTTAGGTCGTTGGTTTACAAGGTAATGTACGTCACTAAAATTAGCGACCTTGTCTCTGAAGAGTGTGAGACCTTCGGGACTTGCCTCTGAAGAGCGTACAGTCCTCACTCGTTTAATTAGGCAAGAATCTATGGAGATCTGATTATCCCGTCAATAACAACTAAATGGGCCGAATAACTTTTGAGCAATGATCCGACTGCAAAATTGTTGTTCACACAAAATGGCACTAAAACGGAGTCGGGAACCCAATGCTCGGCATCAAACAGCTTACAAAAAGAGATTGAGAAAAAGGTTGAAGACATATGAGGCACTTTCAGGAGAGGATCAGCCTTATTTTGGCTTAATTTGCGCGTTCGATGCCTCGGAATTCATAGATCTTCCCGAGTACTACCAAGTGGGAAGTAAGGTCATGCATGATGCATGGCCGTACTTACAGAGTGAAATAATGCCACTCCGAGCCCGAGACAACCAACAACAAGATAAACCTGGTGAGGAGGCGATGTGTGGACAACAGGCTTCACAAGCTCAGATCAGCAACACTGTTGCTGCAACAGAGTCGTCGCCTACGAGGATGAATCGATTGACAATATACGGCTGTCCACAAGCGCTAGTTGATCGTAAAACAGGAGTAGGTTTAAGATAGAGAACCCCAGGATGATGAGAATATGCGCTTATTATGCGCAATGGAAGCGACTACCGGCCACTAACCGAGGTGACCTGCTGGCCGAGCTAAAGTTTCGCTGCGAAGCACCGTGTATCGAACACGCGTGCTCATTATGATTGAACGCAAGGATATCGGGTACGAAAAGAGAATAAATGGATGGTCCGCACAATTGAATCAGAATACCGGCCATGAGCGGTTATCAGTAAAAGTTTGCTGACCATTGACTAGCGCTGATAGTCAACAACCTACGATCCTCAAAACTTTTCCATTGACATCTTGAAATAGGTGCCTCATAGTTCGGAGGAGCTAGCTCAAGTTGTAGCGCGCGTAGACGAGAAAGTTGTCAGGAGTTTCTAAGGATGGCGACGTTAGGAATGACTTACCGACATATTGCAAACTTGCAAGCTAATCATCTGCTCAAGAGCATGTCCCGTGTAAGTACTGCATGTTCTTAGTATGATCACGTATGATCCGCAGTATGGACCCCGAGTCAAACAGAGAAACTCACCTAATATTTTGATAAATCCTGTTTTTCCATACAGATGAATCGCAGCCTTATTCGAAAACTCCACCACCAAGTAGACGGCATCCCACTTGGGATAGTCTGTAGGAAGCTGAAAAGCAAACGACTGATGCTCTGAGCATGCTATGACATAGCAGCTATGTTTAATGCTTCCATCCGAGAACAACTCTTTCAAGAGAGATTCCCGCTAGCCTCACATCTTCGAACACGTGTGGTAGGAGGTTCGATCCGATTCCTTTGTTTCTCCAAGATTCCGCAACATGTACCTGAATGTAGGAGGAATGTCCGCCAGGTGATGCTTTGCAGCGCACATTGCGAATATAGCCAATGATTCTATCCGGTTTCTTCTTGCTGTGTTCTGGCCTGTAAAAGGAAAATTGGGAGGAACAAATTCACAGAACATCAGCTCTCCAACATCAAACCTCTTCTCAGTGAGTTGTACCCACCTGTGACGATTGATTGCCGCTTTGATAGAACGAGAAACGAATTCTTTAGGAATGACCATCTCCACCACGCCAACCACTTTCTGAAAAGCGATGTCGGAACACTGATCTATTGACTGTCAATCAATTTGTGACTAACGCTAATGACGCGATCACGATTTTACTGGCTGACTGTTGAAACTGGTTAGTGTTGGTTACAAATTATGGACACGATCGACCCGTATCACGCTCTTGTTCAACCCGGACGAAGAGAGAATTCAGCAGCGATACAGATGCCGCTTGATTGAGACTTGTATAGACTTGCTAGAACACATGGCTACTCTCCTTGGGTACGGATCGTACCGTACGATTGAGAAGCTGAGAAAATCCTTACCTGATCTCCGCTGGTCACCGCGACCCAACAGCGGAAGATGTCACAACGGAGTGACATCAGTGGAATGAGGGACATGTTATCCCCCTTCTTATATTTGCGGTAAACTACGTCATTGAGCGAGCGCAGACCGTATTGCCTCGACGATGAGTTCGTCAAGAGACCTCCTGCCACCACGAGAGAGTAGGCTAGACAGCAAGGAAGCAAGGTCCTCGCCGCGAGGAGCATCATTGATAGATAGATAATATCCTAAGAATGGGCTACCTTCATTCTCAGACGAGTCGAGTCGGCAGTTCAACAGTTGAGCAATGGCAATAGCTTCAACTCTTAATAGTCTCATGTCACTGGTGAACTTCTATCAGAAGGTCACCTGACTCGCAAACAACTTCCAGGAACTACACTGAACTGAAAATCTCTCACTTGATGAATTCGGTACAACAAAAATTATGACTGTGCAGTTTTTCTCAGAGAATTCAGATTAATTAACACCGAGGGAAGGAGAAGGGGGGTTCGGAGGTGTGTAACACGCAATTGAGACGGCGTGATCATGAACGCATGATCGTGTACGCTACTGTCTCCCTGTCCCATGGCTTTCATCGTGTCACTTCGCAACCTACGCCATTACTAAGATCTCCTCAGTTATTTCTCTTTTTATATCACTTGTTTGCCTTAGCCCTGCAGGTACCACCAACCGTGGTGCCTGAAGGGCTAAGTGTTCGGGTTGAATTGTTTTGGGAGTGGATCAGATTCGCATGCCGCTGGTTGAACGCTGTTCTCTGAAGGTGTACAGTACGCGCAATCTATAGAGTCCGTTTCATGTCACCGGCATAACTTTTTACCCGAAGCTCAAAATGAGCTGAACTTTTGTATATAGGCTCTCCTAACACTTATATTGTTAAAATAAATCACAAACGAAATTCACGGAAACAAATTTTTTTCTCCCATTTTTGAAAAATTTGTAAAAATTTGTGAATTTGGTGAAATTCACCGATGTGGTGGTACTAGGCGAAACTTCCAGCATCCTACGACTACCAGAATCTGGAAAGTTGAATTTGAATTGACCCAACCAAAAGCTTAGGAAGTATAAGAAGCGTTGCTGAAAAGAAAAGATCAGCCTAAACGATTTCTCGGATATTTTCCCTTGCGTGACCGGGTGGGGGACAACCGAAGGCCCGGAGCTGCGCCTCTGTGCTTCCGCTTCTCAATCTCATTCAGTGATTTTCCTTCTCGATAGAGTGCGAGATACTCGCGTGCTGATCCGAAGACTTCGGATCACTGATCCGGGATCAGCACGACTGAAGTGCTTGCAAATCAACTCGATTGTAAGGTCTTCAGCATCTTGGGCTCCCTCCACTCTGTCTTTGGATCTTTTCGATAATCCTAAAGTTTTGGAGACCTTCTTTGGAACTGGCGCCGCCAGCTCCGGATGAAACCTGACGCCAAATATCACTACGTCCCCTCTCTGCGGCCTGATCTTCAAGGATAGTCGCCTGGTTCTTGAAGTCTTCGCAAGCCGACAACAGCCCCACCAGATCCTCATGTCGCTTCCCGGAGATGGCCTCTGCTCCAAATCTCTCTCTACAAGCCTCCCGTGGACCCTTAGGGAGGCCGCGATACACTGGAGGGATAGAAGGGAATACCATGCTCTGCGCCTTTCTACTTTCGTTCGATAAGGACCAAATATCACGCATCTTGGGTTGCCTAAGGCAACTTGCCCTCCACCAGGCTTGACATTCATCGTTCGGGCATTAAGGGCGTCTCCAGCAAACTTGCAATGGATCGGACTCCGATCAGTTAGAAAGAAGCCTTTGACCATCAGAAGCTGTGAGCCCTTCAACGGCCTCGCTACACTCTTGAAAATAAACTTGACAGCGCTTACTATTGTAATACCCATCGGTAGGGACATCGACTACTGAGCCTGTCTTTTCCCCTAGTACAAGGGGATCACATGCGTTGTACTTGACGAACCCGTAAATCTCCGACAAGAAGTCAGTAGTCATTATCGTCCTGCCCTGCGACTTGGTGAGCAGGTTGGAGAAGCTCTTGTCCGACCAATAGCGACGTAGAACGTCATTTCTATGGTGAATTTTCTCATCCTGCGATATCAAAATTTTCTCGGCCGCAAAGTTGGGTTGAACGTCCACAGTATCGTCATGATGACGACGTCATCTATAGTGAGGAGCTTCGGTACTAGGTTGTCCAACTGCTTCCCAAAACGTTCTTCCCTCACGTGGCCATCAACATACAAGGTCTTCTTTACGAGAACGATGTCGAACCCGAGGAAGGGCATCCAGTCCCCAACTGTTCGCTGCGAGTAGGTTCCATCTTTCTGTAGCCCAAGGGCCTCATTCACCCACTCAGTTGTCCTCCGGATGGAGAGGTTGGGTTTTCCCGCACCTCCCAGGGAGTTATCTTCGATGAAGCTCTTCAGCTTCTCCCGGAAGTTGTCGCAACCCGTATCATGCATAGGACTGAATGACTCCCTATCTTCCCTCGCTTGCTTCCCGCTATGGCTCTATCGAGCTCATACTCGGTGCACCATCGGCGCATACTGCGTGAATTCGCCTCTAGCAGGTCGCTAACATTCTGGCAGAATGATTCTGCACCAGCGATTCCTTTGTCACCTCTGACCCACTACGGACGCCTTCTTAATATCGCTTGAGCACCCAGCGGCTGGCGAGGTGGTTCTTGCAGTAGATGTTCTTCCAGGAGATGTCGTCTAGTGGGTTGTGGAGGCTCAGATCCGCTAACATCTCGTCTGCTTGGTGAACTCTCTGCTGTCGCTCAGCATCTCGCTGCTGCTGGAGCTTCGTGCTTGGGACCCGCTGCTGGTAGATTGGTCTTCTAGGCTAAGAATCGTTGCTTCGCCCTCCATTTCATCACAGAAACCGGCAAGTCTCGAGGCTATGCGCCGAGGAACCTGAACGCGAGACGCCAGGCGATGGTATCTGAGGCTGTAGGTGCTCCCAGTGATGGTCACATAAGCTCGGATAGAGAGCGCACTGCTCAGTAACAGGAGCGGCACAGGGCTCAGCTTCCTGATCTATAATGAAATGCCGTGGCTGGTTACCTGATACCAAATTTCCGTCACTATTGGCAGCAGACTCCTCCTCGTGCTGATCAGCAGCAGTATGCTTAGTGAGTCCTCTTCCCGACTGTAGCGGTGGAAGTACAGGATCGTCCGGCTCGATACGACACCTTACTTTATTAGAGTCCGTACTAGTCTGTCACACGGAAGTGAGAGATTTTTCTCCACCATCTTTTGGGAGCAGACTCCCCATGGTGCTGATCGACAGCTTTGCGCTTGACAAGCTCTCTCCTCGGAGGGAGAGGAGAGAGGACAGTATCGTCCAACTCGATGCGTCGTCTTTCTCCATTAAAGTCCTTTCTGGACTAGCGCACGGGAGTGAGCGGTTTTTGGCTATTACTCAGTCTCATGATGAGACTCTCATCGAACAAAGCGATGAGGATTCCTCATTGAGGAACTTCAATCTCCAGTTGCAATAGTGGTTCATTGAAACGGCTGACAGTCTTAGATGCGCATATCCTGGGCGTTCGCACCCGCACTGCGGATTCATTTTTCTCATTTCTGGGATTACTTTTGAAATCGTTGATCAAAATCGTGTTTGTTGGAAGGAATGTACAATCGTTTTTGAAATCGTCTCTGACATTTCAAATTCGTGTATATTAAACGCCAAGTCGGAAACGATTTTCAAAATCTATTTTCAGAAACGATTCCAGAATCGCACAGAGCAAAGTTTATTGAACGGCCGGAGGATCAAACTCAGCCGCGCGAGCTGGAGTTCAGTGGCTGAACTAGATGCGCTCTCGAGCGCTCGAACATACACGCGCATACTAGTTCACTATTTTGTTTTTACGGATTAGTCGCTGGCATCGCCACTGACGATGTACACTGTTCTCATACACTTTGGTCACTTTGCAGCGACTCGCTGCACTCCCTCGACATCATCGTCCGTGGTTACTGTTTTTCGTGAGGAAGGGGCGGAGCTCACTTAGTCCGCACTCTTTGACTGGGAAGTGGGGAAATACTGGTCGCTGTAGAGATACAATGATTTTGAACTGCGGTCGTCGTTCGCGCGGTTGAAAGTTTCATGCCTCATGATTGCTCTTTGACGACCAACGATCTGGAACCGCGCACCAAACTCTATCCTGATACGAGTCCCCGGTTATGATCGAACTTCGATCAGCGAGATAGACTTCTTCCCCTGATTTATGCACATTATCTAATGCTCTTCGCGTTTTCCCGAGCCTTAGCACATCGAGGACTCGGTTGATCCATCTGATGCCTTTCGACGCTTGATAGTTAACTCAATTAATTCTACACGCACGCACGCACGTATGCACCACGCGAAATCACCTGTTGTAACGGTACCACTTTCATTTTTTTCAGGTCTGAGCGGCAAGGGTGTTATCAGCGTACCTTTATAGGGACATTCACAAGGTTGACTCAGCTGAGTGTGAGGTCAAATCTTTGTAGTTGGGAATGCATTACGAACTTCTGTCACACATGGGCGATTGAGTTAATATTGGTTATAGGGAGGTCGTATTGGTCAAGTGGCTCTGTGGATATGCCGACGAATTTTCCAGGAGTTAGCGTGGAGGTGTCGACAGCAGCGGGATCCTTACCAGAATCTGTTGATGATCTTTCCATAGTAGTAATAGTTAGTAGTAGGAGTAGTAGTAACAAAATGGTATTGATGTACTGGAGAACGATGGTGTTTGATTAGGTTGAGGAACCTCATTCCCCGAGTGAACTCCGGCGAAAGCCTTTACGAACGTTTGCGAGGCTCAGACCTCTTCGGGTGCCAGCGGAACGTGGACTCAGGCGTGAGCCTAGGGGATTTCAGTGAGCACCTTCGGGCTAATTATACCATTGAGTCGTGTATAATTGTTCAACAACGTACGATGGGTAGAGGATCTGTGCCAGAACTTGTGTCTGCGTGCAAAAGTAGCACGCAGACGCACAATTATCAACATATAACAGAACAGCGTCTTCATCGTCCCATCATCAAACATTAGTTGGAGAACTTATTGGCTGAATGAACACAAGCGGATATATATGCGAATCTCTTAATGTGCTTAATGTATCCGAGAATCGTTGTTGCTATATTCCAGTTCGTCTACGGAGCGATGAGCGGTTTAGGTTGGGAATTGGACGCAAATCGCGATTCTTCTCCAGGAGGAGGCGCGCTTGAAATCGCCTTTCTTTGAGAAGATATTCTGACGATTCGTCAGGATGTGTATTCGTGTTTATTCATGAACTCATTGTGCTGAAAATCCGCCTTTTCGATTCAATATATAAAGTTGCTCGATCATTGAAGCTGTCGTTGCAGCTTCGAAATCGTAACTAGAGACAACGACATAGATGGGTTAATGGCCGCTACCTCTCCGGATCGTGGTGCGAATAGAAGTCTAGGTGGACTCCTTAGGATGAGGTGTGAGGAAGGTAAAAGGCGGTGACACAATTACGATTGTTTCCACGATATGACGATCCCGATGTGGGGCTCGTCCGAATTATCTGTTTTCTGCACAAGGCAGTTTCATCCGCGTTTTTGCGGAATTTCGTGAAGTTGTACCACTTGAAATAGAGCGTTATCACTCATGCAGTAGGTGTGAAAGTTATGGTAGGGTGAATCGAGTCGAGAGTGATTCATTGGAAAAGTGTAGTTGAACTAGGCTGAGTATATCCTTGCCAGATTGCAGTCCAGGAACAACGTCGCGGGAGGTGGCAACAGGAAGAGACACGTAAAAGGGTTGGAGCCTCACTAGTTGCCGTAGTTTATTGACTATTATATTCGAGATTGTGTGGAAATTTGGTAAGAAGGATCTGAGAATAGCCTGGGGAAGTATTGATTGAAAACAGCGAGGTTATACTAATTGCGTCTACTTGTGGATATGGGAGTTTGCTGACAATAGCAGATGATTCTTTAGGGCTTTTTAATCGTTTTTGAACGAGGGATGTTAGGGTGGTCTGTTCTGATGAAGTTCAGCTTGTAAAATAATTAATTCGGAAAAGGAAGTCAGTTGACTGAGTTCTGCTTCTGACCGCAGATACACTTTCCCGTTCCATCGCGTGATGGGTTCGGAGGTGAGCCAGGAGGAGGCATTCAAACATGTTGCACTGCCTGTCTTGAACAGTTGCATGGAGGGCCATAATGGGTAAGTGGCGTAGTGGTAGTGTGTTCGGTTCTCTCTCGTACGATCGAGGTTCGTTCCTCGGTAGAGGTCATTTGCCTTATTTTCAATCAATTTGTGCAGATGCATTTTTTGCTATGGGCAGACAGGAAGCGGCAAGACGTAAGCCGTTCCCTCAACTTTTCCCCTATCCATGATGTCGTTGTTTAAGCTACACTATGAGTGGTGGAGAGGGCTATGCCGAGAGGGGCATCATCCCGAGGTGCATCGAAGAGCTTTTCGCAGCGGTTGAGCGGTTTCAAAGATCCACTCCTGGAGCTGTTACTAATGTAAATGGCATAATCGATCACGTGATCGATTTGAGACTCTCTCGATTTAGGTTTCGGTGAGCTACTTGGAAGTGTACAATGAAAATGCGTACGACCTCCTGTGTGAGAGCGTCAATCCCAGAACTCCTATCGAACACTGGCCGAAGGTGAGCTATCCCATGCGTTGAGGAAATGTAAGAGTGCACAAGATCGCAAGATTCACTCTATATCTTGGATTTGGAGGAAAAGTATAGATGTGAATATACTTTCTAGCAGAGGTTTTTTATCATCGATAGTTGTTTACAAGGCTGGATAGGTAGCGAGGAGCATCTGAATCGATAGCATCGCACTATGAAATTATCTTCATACCTACGCATGTTCCTATCATAGATCTCTTGTATAGAATAATGAGTTCCTTTCGAGAACTGTCTCGTTCAGAAGTTGTGTAGTAGAAGAAGTGTCTGCTTAGGTGAGTCTTTTGGAAGATGAGAACGGCGAGATTGTGTTGCGGAACCTCTCATTGCATACGACGCTCACTGAAGATGATGCATTAGATATGTTCATGTTAGGAAATGTATTTCTTTGGGACTAGACTAGCCGATGGTATAACGCGTGATTCAACGATTGAGAAATTGTGATGATGGGTCTCACGATAAGGCCCTACGGTGAGAGCAGACAGTGAGGCACTATGATACGTGCACGCCACGTCAATGGTCGGGTGCCCCCGGTTATTGTGGGGGAGCTTGATCACCGCGTACGACGCTGCTAAAGTTCGGTAATGCTACCGACGACAAACGCTCCATCTGTAACGTCATCTATCTACTTAAGAACGACGTGTCAGTATCGTAGATTCAGTCGCTGACTTAAGCGACTATATTGTTGCCCGAGAATGTCATCAACCATCCATCGAAACCGTCGAATCACTCTAAGCTAAGCAATCATTTTGCGAACTATATCATAAGTAGAATTATGCCATGCCCTATCCGTATCTCACACTTTTCCGTTGGTGAGCCTCTCTGGGAATCTTTCACCGTGCGATTGGCAGAGATGTGATGAACCTATGAAATATCGTATTCGGCCGCTTGCATAGAACCGTCATCAATCTTCCTAATATCCAGCATTACGTCTCTTAGCACGCTTAGTGTGCGAGATTCTCGGATCGAGAAATTACGAACGTCGGAGCGGCGTGTTTTCGGTGATTGCACTCACTCTTTCCGAGGGCGTTGCTTTCTGGCAATTCATACATCTACATTTATGTGTATGTATACGAATAGAGAACGTGCCATTATGAATCAAGTCTATCGCAATTTGCCAAGTAGAAACTTGCCTGAGTGCCACGCATATTAATGAAAGCACTACTGTTGGATAATTTAATAGCAGTGCTTGCAATTCTTCTTGCTCATACAGCGTTGCATATTTGCTTGCAATTCTGTGGAGAATCTAGGCTGTGCGTAAGATACGTGGTCAGGTGAATCGTATGGTATCGAGTACAGCTGCTAATATGGCATCTAGTAGGAGTCACACAGTGTTTACACTAGAGGTCGAGCAAGTGAGCGATGAGGGAGAGTGTTATGGTCAAGAAGGCCGATACGTTCCTATTACATTTCTGTGATCCGTTGTTGCTGATATCTGAAATTTGTCACTAAAAATCTCCGGAGAAAACGAAGATTGATTTGGATACTATTCGGATAGAAAATGGTTACATGATGGAATTTCGTAGTTTCGAGTTCATTTTTACGCCGAGTTTTTTCCCTTTTTTATGGTAAAGTTGAAAATTTCGGTTTCAGCACACTCCCTGTGGAAAACCCGGGACTGACCTATTGCGACGATGGAAACTGCATTTAGTGGACCTCGCGGGCAGCGAGCGAGTTTGGAAAAAGAACCTGAATTCACAGGTATCATCCTGATCTCGAAGTTGTGTGTTGAGTAGGAATTTTGTGGCGCGTGACGGCACTTTTTGTAGTTTTACGCACGGAGCTGACTCGACTGTTGATTTTGAAAAAGTTCAGAAATCGATGTAGATGCGGCCGTAAGAAGTCCTTCGGAAATGTCGGACTGATTTTGGAACGGCATCATTTCGCGAATAGAAATGATAAAATGCGGAATGAATACTGAGGTTTGAAATCAGCTCTTGGAACTAGCGTCAAAGAAGCGCGATGGTGTCGAGAAAATTTGAGACCGTGATCCCCTTGCATCCTTCGGTGTTAACACACAAGTGTCGAAGAGTGGCCCATATAGATCAGACAAGTCATCATCATTATGTTAGTTTGATGTAGGACTAGTAGATCGTTATTGGTGTAATAGAATGATCGTGGAGGAGTCTAAGAGCCGTATATGCCCTGTATAACCTCACACGTATAATATGTGTAGTCGTAAATGGTACGGGTACACCAAACAAAGTGTTGTAAGTTGAGGCGACACTTAACGTCACGTGCGTGATTCTTATCGCGTACGCGTACACAAGCAACGTTGTGTTTTGCCGTATGTATGAACCACAAACTCATATCGATGGCGATTCTCAGGGTACTTCAGCTCAGTTCGTTCTTGATTTCCCCCGTGCTGAGTGTATCTGTTCAAGACCGCTCATGATCTTATGCGTTTTGCGGTTCAAATGAGCACGAAATATTGGTATGAGCTTCTGCTAGTCGATTTTCACACGGGGCCGGGCCCGTGTTATATACCCCCGTGACGGGGGTATATAACACATATATAACGTGTTATATATTATAACAGAACATAGCAATTAAGGATCTATCAGTTCTTTCGTACGCAAGATCACGAGTAATGGAGAGTTAACAGGTTCTGCAAGAAGCGAAGTACATAAATCGATCATTGCATTTCCTCGAGCAAGTCATCAACAGTCTTCAACTGAAGGCGAGCGGTCAGCGGTTCCATGTCCCTTATCGGAACTCGTTGCTCACTTCGGTAACAGCAGGTATGTCTAGCGGAGCGAAGCGATTTTTGTTCTGCAGGTTTTGCGAGATTCATTGGCGGGTAACTGCATGACGGTTATGGTCGCTAATGTGGCAGTTAATTTGGAAGCGTTTGACGAGAGCGTGGCGACCTGTCGATTCGCTCAGAGATGTTCAAGGCTAGTCAATAATGTGAGTATTGGGCGGAAGAAATATTATCTTTAGTTTGATCTACAACATTTTCGTGTAAAAAATTAATTTTTACTGACATTTTTTTAAGATTTTACTCTCTTGCTTAATGCTTAACGCGTGGTTTTAACGAAATATCAAAATTTTTGATATTTGTTATTCTCAGCCTACGTGAAGATTTGAGAGTTTAGTTTAACCAAGGATATTCTAGAATCATTCACCATCGTGAGCTCTTCTAGTTCAGTAGTAAATTCTCTGCTTCTTATCGCTGAGTATAACATCAAACACATCAGACAATAGGCTGATTCGCCAATACAAATATTACGAGTGGTAAATCGACTACAACAGAGGATTGAAATATGGTTTGGAAGAAATTAATAAACTCTATCGCTGAGGTTCAAATCTACAACCTTGTGACGAAGTGTTGTAGTAGTGTCATTCCGAGATACCAAGAATCTGTGATAACGACGTGAGCGAAATGATCGTGCTCTGTACTAAATCTTGGGGAACCCAAGAGGTGCACGGGTCCGTATGGTGGGGTCAGATCCGTTGCACAGACCGCGTCGACTGGGAGACTATGTGCAAGAGGTTGACTCGCGCCAATAAGGTTTTGATGGAGAAAATAAAGACGCTCGAGAATAAGGCGGAGGCAGGACATGGTGAGGAGGGGCGTTGAGGAAATGCAAGATTGATCAAGTGGAGCAAGTGGACTTGCCTGTGTTGATTTATGCTAGGAGTCGATTCTAGGATTGTGGTTCCAGAATTGACTCTGAGTTTTGTAATGAACTCGTTGTTGGAGTATGTTGTTATAACAATGTGGTTATGTTTGTTTTTATCGCAACCAGGGATCGAACCTGCGACCTTGTATTGTGGTGTATAATTGGTCCCGGATGATGTTGCTAGTTTATATGCTAGCAGAACTCATTACTTCATGTAGTAACCTGGAATCAGATTAGCGGAGCGAAGCGATTTTTATTGTACAAATTTTGGCTGTTGCCAATTCTTAGAGGTGGGTACAACGGCAGAGGTGATTCTGGACGATGATTCTGTGCCGATGTCGACGGCTGAGGAGAGGTTTGTGTTCACACACGCTGTTGACGAAGTTGAGGGTAGAATTGCAAGGTGCAGGGATCGAACCTGGGATCTATGTAATCAGACTCTCATCATACGTGGTCAGTGAGGGAAGTATTGCAAAATACCAATGCTAACCTGGCGAAGCATCCTAAGGACAGACGAAAGTAAGAGATTGTTGTTGACTCATAAATGTCGAGAATCTGTCATATCTTCAAGGCAACCTGTCATAACCTTTGGGAGAGTAGTGTAATCATAACCAGAGTTTGATGGAACGATTGGGCAGTTCGATATAGCTGAGGAAACTATTAGTGTATATACATGACATTGATACATTCTCCATGTTAAACAATGTGTGAATATCGGCCGAATATGCCGAGAATTTTTTTCACGCAATCGCGTGCGAGAGACGCACGCACAGTAGTCGTCACGGGACTTCCCTTCCCGAGTGATGGTTGACACACGTATTGGCTGGAGAGTGAGCCGTGTAGATAGCACAGGTTTTCAACGACATCAGTTTAGTAGTAGGTCGATGTCAGTGGAGTTTCACCCGTTTTACATGAACTGGTGTAAAACTTCGTGAAAAACGCGATATTCACACTACGCAGTAGTCGTGAAATATGTTTTTCACTAGCGTTTTTCATATCACGGGTGAAACTCCAGTATAGGAGAGAGCTCGTCTGGAATCGTCTGTATTGCAAGTTTCGTTTGAGCTGAGGCTCAAGGTTACAAAATCTGTAGTTGAAGCGGAACGCTCTGATAAGAAAGTGAGGGATTTGTTCCGTATAACCGGTTGATATCGCTCAGTTTAAATGCCGAACGGTTACATGAGCAGCCTGCTTCAATTTGCAGGTATCTCCTTGGTCATCTCCGGGCTCGAGGATTGGATATAAGATTCTCTTGCGTTGCAGACTTGTGTGCTATGATACAGGTCAGTCTTACCGTGAGGTATGTGTTGTGAACGTTTATGACGGATTTTTTCACCCAACGATTATACTACGGGTTATTTTTTTGGTGGTAAGATCCGAGGCTTGTAGGTTTATTGATGTTGATTCATTGTTGTGTGTTTGGATCATCGTAATGTTTTTACCCGGGTAAAATCATCTTCAATCGAAGGTTCTCAATGCGAAGTTGGAGTTAACTGATGGCGAAAAGAAGGTGCTGAGGCGCCAGCTGGTTACAGAGCTCCAAAAAAGGCAGGAGGAAACAGTCCAGGTCGGACTTGAGCTCGGAGGATCGCGGATCTATTCCCGCCGATGTCATTTTTCGTTACATATAAACTACGTCGTGTCACTCATACTGACTTCGCAGTGATCTGGTTAAGATCAGGTTCGTCTACCTGACGACCCGGGTTCAATTCTCGAGCCCGGCATATTTTAGTACCAATGACGGAGTCTCACTATGATGTTGTTCATGCCAATGAAGTCTCCTTATGTCGTCGTTATTGGTGTTGACTTGCGGCGGTAGCAATTGGGAATAGTTCTAGTAGTGGTGGAATCGCTGTTGAAGAATTAAGCTTCAAACGTTTTACGTGAAGTGGCGTAATACTCTGTGAAGAATGTGATATTTTTGCTATGCAGTAGTCGTGAAATATACTTTTCACTGGTGTTTTTTTTATATCACGGGTGAAACTCCAATATTCGCACATGCAATTGAAATTACAATAGTAGCTGGGAAATTGAAACCACGAAAAAACAGCGATTGAAAACTTCAAATTTTCTCTGATACTAACATCAGTTTTGTGTTGAAAATTTATTCATTGGAGTTTCACGACCCTAGTGATATGAAAAACACTAGTGAAAAATATATTTCGCGACTGCTACAGGCCGCGAATATCGCGTTTTTCACAGAGTATCTCGCCACTTCACGTAGAACGGGTGAAACTCCATCGTTTGAAGTAGGAATTTTAGGATGGTCCGACGATGAGGCTTCGGTAAGGATGGAGATTCCTCTGCTGTGGATAAGTTGAATGAATCAAATTACATAAGTTTGTCAATGAGGTTCTTGGCTGAGTTTTGCTTCTGGTCGCAGAACAAATGATATATAATAATTTTTCACCCGTTTCACGTGAAGTGGCGTAATACTTGACGTGAAAAACGCGATTTTCGCGCTATGAAGGAATTTTTTATTATTATTCTGAAGTTGAATTACGAAAAACAGGAATGGGAGGAATTTGAAGAGTTACCAGATAGCAGATATCAGAACTTGATGAGCTGATGCTTTTTCATTGCATGAAGATGCGATTAACGTGTTTTTCACATGAAGTATTACGCCACTTCACGTAAAACGCGTGAAACACCAGTGTTGTCAGCTGACTCCAGATAAGGGATTTTCTATGTTGTTCTTTGTTATTGTTATTATTATCGAATATGCGTTTACTAGTCGCTATACTAGTCGCTTTTTGTACAGCTATAGAGGCTGCCGACTCGGACTCAGCGAGGGCTGGCTTGAGAGTGATGGTTGAGTGGGCTGACAGTGACAAGGAGCTCACGGTGGAGGAGGTTGCTGTCACGTTGTGAGTACATGTGGGAGTGTTAGAATCACAAGCATTATAATGATTTCATATAGATTATATTTCATCTGAATTCATTTTAATTGCGGAGTGGCATGAATCTCGGTGAAAAACGCGATATTCGCGGTGATATGCAGTAGTCGTGAAATGTTTTTCCACTAGTGTTTTTCATATCACGGATGAAACTCCATTATAACTTCATTAGTGTTTTCCATATCACGGGTGAGACTCCACTAGCATGTATATCAGAAATATATTATTAACATCGTTTTAACATTAACACCATTAACTATAATTCTCCCAGTGTTTTTAGTATCGCGAGTGAAAATCAAATAAATAATATAATAAAATTGAGCCAGAAATATACAACTGCAGGTACACTATGCGTCACCTACGTCGTGCTCTATCGTCTCAAGGAGAGGCAGTGAGCCCTTTGTTCTGGGCCTGGTTGGGAGACTTTGAAGCTCAGACAGAAGCTATTATGGCAGCTAAGAATGACTTGTGAGAGTCTTGGGGGGGAGGGCTGAAGTCTGCAGTGTTTGAGATGGTCTGACACTTATACGCCTCTCTATTGAGCTGTGCTGAATGATGGAGCGTAAAACCTGTTGGGGAGTCTCTTCTTATTTCACTATATTTGGAGACGGTTTCTTAGGTTCACATTGAATGTATTGACGAATCAATTTCGCAGCGATATGAAGATCTTTCTGGCCGAGTTCGGAAGTACTCCCCTTGGGCCACTCTCGAAGGTTTCTTCTGACGATGGGTGGACGGATGATTCGGATGAATTACGGTACGTATCATCAATGTGGGAATATATATGCACATGGCTGAGTGTGGATGACAATGAAGAACTATAACCATTATTCATGAATTCGAGTAGAAGTGCTCAGAAACCAACGAGAAGTTCTCAAAATTTGCTCTCAGAATTCGCATATTGTGGTCTACACATGTAGTTGACCATGTGCATATTGAGCCGTATGCTTATGAGATCGATTCAATGGTATTTGTTGTTGAAGTCTATATCGAGCTTGATAGGTCTATCGCATGCTATGTGGATGCCCCTGGTGTGGATGTAACCAACTGTGGCGGTGGAATTGTATTCGATCGAGTTGAGGATGCTATCAACCATCGAAATGAGCTCAGTGGTGTTGATATTGGAGTTGTTGTTAAGACTAGTAGAGAACTGGATAGGGTAGGTCTCGGGTTCAAATCCTGACGAGGGCATTTTTAAATAGGTGAAATCGAGTGGTATATCTCCTAAGTGGGTTTTGGCTTCTTCGAAGCGGCTCGCTCAAGCAGCTGAAAGTTCTTTCAAAGGAGCACTCGTTTCTCGAGGCGGAGTAAGTTTGAGGTCATTTTGAGTTTAGCGGAGCGAAGCGAAGCGGGAATTTTTCCCCGTACAGGTGTTGAAGGGCGTCGTAGCGAACTTTGGTGTATCGGGCTTTGTCCTGGCGAGTAGGGTAGATACTAGATTGTATGGATTGAAGAGGTTGGGGGAGTGCGGACGAGAGAAAGGGTAGGTCTTGTATGGACGTTTTAACACGTGTTAAAACGCTCCTACTTGCAACTCGCTCTCGACCGTTTATGGAGGTTCATTCGGGGAGTAGTCCTGGCTAGGTACACCGTGCTCCGTGATCCGACAGACAGTCCCACATCAGCGACGGCCCCCTCCATCAGTTGTGAGATACCCTCTTTGGAAACTGAAACTATCGAGAAGTGAGTATTCGAATTTTGTGGCGCAGTGACGTTTTTAGAGCAACACTACTCTGATGGGAACATGGGCATCGGATTTTCGCCACATTCATTGCAAAAGTGCCGTAGGGAGTTTTGTGTGGATATAATCGTTTGAAAAATATTCCGCTTTTTCAATATTTTTGATCTACATAAACGTCATGAGAGCTCATCGCTGATTACATCACACGATTAAAAGATGATTCAAAATCATCTTTTCTTCACTTTAAAACGTTCGTGTCTTCTCAGATTCCCACATATTCACCCGGACTACATCGTTCGTGCAGAGCTGAAGCTAGCCTCGGGTCAACTGCCGGGGATTGCCTCTGAACACCTGTCGAGGAAAGCTGTGACGAGGCTTCATGAGGAGCTGTTGGAAAACGATTATGCGGTGTATTTACCCGATGCTTTTACGAAGGAGACTTTCGAAGAGGTGGGGTCATGATTGTTGTTTTAAACGGGTGGTGTATCGGTTTTATTCACTTTTGTTGGAATTTGGCACTCTCGGCACAAGTGGAAAATTCTGATAAATTTTAGGAAATTTTGGGAAATTCTGCACACTTCTGCCCTAATACGCATATAATTAGTAAGGAAACTCCGGAATATTGCTATATTCAAAATAACGCATATTAGTCTGGTGTTGAAACATATACGTCCCATACGTCGCGCCACTTGATAAAAAGAGGTGAAATTCCGATGGAAAAAATTTTTCAATGAGTATTTAGATTCAGTGATGAAGTTTACTTCTTCTTCTTGTTGTTGGTGGTAGATCCTCGCGGAAGTGGAACGATTATGGAGAATTGGGGAAAATAAAACGTCGGGGATGGAAGCCAACTGCAATCTTGACGGCAACGACAGAATGGGCGGGTAGGCTACGGGAAGGGGAAGAACGTTTTATGAGGGGAAATTTATTCCGGAATAGAACACATTTGATTTGTGGCCATAGCATTTTGGGATAGGTTCTTATTGTTGATATCATGTCGAGATCATCTCGCTCTTCAGTGATGATCGATAGTGTAATGATTTGTTTTTCTGGTTGGTTGAGTTCGCGCATGGTTGAGGAGAATTCGATGATTTTACGGTAGTTTTTTTTCGAAAGATCCCCGTGATAGTAGATATGTAATAAGCTTCTGTAATAGAACGCCCCTTCCAATTTTCGACTACTGAGGCTTAGTTTTTTCGCTCGGGATAATATATGAAGACAGGATCACCGATGGTGCCCTTGAGGAGAAAAAACTGAGATCTTATGTAACACGCAACAGCAATACGCATTTCATTGGAAAAAATCGTCTAGAAATTTTTTGAACTTGTCTTGAAATTTTTGGCATTTTTCTGGATTTTTCCCCTGGATTTTTGGATTTTTTTCCGAAAATTTTCATAATCGT